AGCTGAGTGCACCAGTGAGGAGGTATAGAGCTGATAACATACGAGTGTAGGTATGGAGAAAGGCTCTCAGGATTGGTGGCATGCTTGGAGCAGACGAGAGAGGGGCGGCATGGAGCAGGCGGCAGAAGAGTGGCATGGAGCAGGCGGCAGAGGGGAGGCATGGAGCAGACGGCAGAGGGGAAGAATGGAGCAGACGGCAGAGGGGCGGCATGGAGCAGACGGCAGAGGGGACGGCATGGAGCAGGCGGCAGAGAGGCGGCATGGAGCAGATGGAAGAGGGGTGGCATGGAGCAGGAAGTTCATCAGCCAATCATTGACGGCCTTTCAAGCAAATTCCACCAATCATAGACAAGAAAATAGAGCGTAAGTACTTACGTTCACTTAGCGAGTTTTGAAAGTATGGCCCACTGTATCAGTGATGCTTGTTGTTGCTTGCTGTGGTATCGAGGAGTTGCTGGGGATACATTTACAAGTAACATAGATGTCGATTACAAAAATATCGCATATTATTTCCCATAAAAGAAAGTAAATTCTTTCTTTTATAGAAAGCAAATCGGTCTCAGTTTTAATTTACTCAGAAACCCAGGCATTTTCAATTTCCTCCGAATTCTCTCAGTCATTGTAGTTACTTGAGATTAAAGCGTGGTAATTTCTTCGTATAGGCGATGTGCAGCCTTTACTGCCACGCTATAGTAGGAAAAGAATCGGCGACAGGCCACATCAGGCCTACACTTCAGCGCCGAGATCACTATGTTATGTTGTGTTATGTTATAGAAGAAAGTTGATGTTGGTTTCAGTGATGTTATTTCTCATCAATGTTTGAATGCAATAGCGTTACAGCCTGCAATGCAATGCCCCATGCTACCCATGTCACCAGGTCCTCCCCCCGGGATGATGTAACTTGGACAAAACATCAGATAACGAGACCATAACCGTTTATTTTCAATTTTCAACAACTTCTACGATTAATAATCTAGATATTGTATGATCAACTGATCATTCTGATCGTTTACAAGTAGTAAAGATCGCATACAATCAATAATCCAGATGCTTTATAATTAGTAAAGATGGCATACAATAAATAATTCAGATCGTTTACGAATAATAGGAAAGATTGCCTAGCATCATCAAAACTGGGGACGTGTGGTATGTTGCTGCCCACGGTGTTGCTGCTCGGCACCAAGTGACGCTCAATAATCCTGCCCAGGCTTGCAGTTGTGGCGGCAATTGATTGCTCTGCTTGACATGATGATCGGTATTTGTGTGTGACAAACTGACCCGTTATCGCTGAGTTGTATCGACCTCATGGCAGCGTTCAATATCGCGTGCTAGCAACACCGGGTGCGCATTTACACTAACTAGTGTACGCCTTCACCCTGACACATGGCGAACACCTGTCGTAGTGACATGCAAGCCTTCATGCGCCTGCACTCATGGATTTGCTGCTAACACTTCGCTCTTGCTGTGTCCTAGCTTTCGCATTTGAGCACTCAACATAAGCGTCGCGCTTAATTGCCTGGGCCTATAATTTCAAAAAAAGTTAAGAGATCGTAAGTTCATCAGCCAATCATTGACGGCCTTTCAAGCAAAATCCACCAATCATGGACAAGAAAATAGAGCGTAAGTACTTACGATCACTTAGGAAGTTTTGAAAGTATGACCCCTGTATAGGAACTGTACAATTGATGGTTATATTTACCAATATTCCAGGCTATCGGAGCATGAGAGGTTATTCAAAACCTGGTAGTGATGCGTTGACATAACAGACACGTTTAACATGTCAACACTTAATAGTGATGTGTTGATATAACAAACAATGTCAACATGATGCTTTCGAGGTTACGGGCTTGCGATGGGTGACGCATTATAGCGCGGAGTTGCTATGTGTATATGAACTGAATATAACTTTATTGGCTGCGTGTGAAGCGCCTTGCAATTCAGTTAAGATTAATCGATGAATTCATATGCTTGGGCTGCAGTGGTTTGAATTTATATAATACATCACCAGCATTTAAAGCGTCTAGCGCTGCTCAATAAACTATTGGTGCATTGTACACACGTAGAAAATAGTCGTGCTCTCGGTGGAGTATTATGGCCGAGGACACGAGTGAGAGGAAAGTATGGAGCAAGACGACGCGACAGGAGGCATGGAGTGTGACTTATAAGAAGGAATGCATGTAGCAAATCACGTACGAGAGAGGTATGGAGTAGTATGAGTGCGAGGGGAGGTATGAAGCTGAGTACACCAGTGAGGAGGTATAGAGCGGATAACATACGAGTGTAGGTATGGAGAAAGGCTCTCAGGATGGTTAGCATCCATGGATCAGACGACAGAGGGAAGGGGTGGCATGGAGCAGAGGGGTGGCATGGAGCAGAGGGGCGGCATGGAGCAGAGGGGCGGCATGGAGCAGATGGCAGAGGGGCGGCATGGAGCAGAGGGGCGGCATGGAGCAGAGGGGCGGCATGGAGCAGACGGCAGAGGGTATTTATAATGGCGGTGTTGGCAGACAGCTCGTGCGCGGTGCCAATGAAGCGCTGCCGCATCAAGCAGACGCGATAATGGCTGCCCGTGAGCCTGTGTCTTCACGCTGCCTTCCTCTGATTATTTATCCTTGATCTGACTGCGTGATGGAAACCGAACGCCTAACCACCGACATTGCAGAAAACAAAATCGCGCAATGAACAATTTTTTTACGAATTTTGCTGGGTGTTTGTCCTCGAGAACTTGAAATCGTACAATGCACGATTTTTTTGCGAATTTTGCTTGGTGTGTGTCCTCGAGAACTTGAGATTCACATTTGGTTCGAGTTGGCTCGTTCATTGATGAACCGCATTAGTAAAATTCATGATCGCGTCAGTTTGTAACACGATTGCGTCTGGCTATCACGTTAATTGTCGTTAGAATCAGTGTCACGTCAATACGTATACTGACCTCTTGGTAAATGAGGCTTCGCTGGTAAAAAGTACAGGTATTATTCTTTCCAGTTGAATGCGTTCCTACCCTTCTCGTCCCCAGTTGCCCCAGTCAGAATCCTGTACCTGGGAGATGCGCCGTACCGGTGCGAGTAATGCTGAATCTTTGACTGCGCTAGGGTGTTGAATCCTATGATGGGGTCCTGAATCCTATGACGGGTTCCTGAATCCCATGACGGGGTCCTGAATCATATGATTGGGTACTGTATCCTATGGGGTCCTGAATCCTATGACGGGGTCCCGAATCCTATGGCGGGGTCCCGAATCCTATGACGGGGCCCTGAATCCTATGATGGGGTCCTGAATCATATGATTAGGTACTGTATCCTATGGGGTCCTGAATCCTATGATGGGGTCCTGAATCCTATGATGGGGTCCTGAATCCTATGATGGGGTCCTGAATGCTGTGCGTCGACTGTGTGTGCAATCCATTCGGCGAGTAAATGGTCACGAGCTTGATTCTTAAAGCACAAAAATTGTGTATTTAATTTGTCTTGTCATCATCGTGGTGTTGCACAGCGAATTGGAGACAGTTGTGAAGTGAAGAAAGACTTGCTAGTGCATGTCAATTCTTTCGATTTTATTACATCACTTGAATTGCAATTATCTATACCTGAACGTAAAATCATCGAAACGTGTTTGTTTTTCTTGCTATTTTGGCTTGCCGAATTGAGCGGTGTGACGATATCGCGTGCCAAGGTTTAAATAAATTTGCCCTATTGAAACATTTGTGTCCAAGAGTGACGGAAAATCAATAATGACAATTAAACTAAACCTGAGATTATTATATAAAGTATATCTGAGCACAGGAGTGGCTTGATCGGTATTGGCCTTCAACACGATGAGCTCCCTACTGAGAAAAGTAATCTGTATTAATTCCCGTATTAATACCGAATCCAATATTTCTCACGAGTCATATTTCAGCAGAACAGTAATACAGAACAATAACATATCTGAGACTACAAGTGAACATTATTTGAAGCATACCTCTGCATTCTGCAGGTGCCGACTTCCACCATCCTGAACTTTGCAATTAAACCCATGCAGCGCAAAGCTGCATAAGGTCGCAAGGAAGTCCTGAATCTGTTTACCGAAATATTCTAATTAGATTCAGCGAGCTGTGATCGAAGTGACTGTTGAATAATTGAAAATTAATTGAATAATTAATAATAATTGCAAGGTGATTGAGGTGAATGTCATGCTGAATTGTATATTGAAGTTGAATTGAAGTTGTATAAGTGCGCTGAATTGAGCGGTGATTGAAGTGACTGTCGCGCGTATTAGTTGTATAAGTGCGCTGAATTGAGCGGTGATGGAAGTGAATGTCACGCGTATTAGTTGATTAAGTGCGCTGAATTGTGCGGTGATGGAAGTGAATGTCACGCGTATTAGGTGCGTAAGTGCGGTGATAGAAAGACTGTCACGCATATTAGTTGAGTAAGCGCGCTAAATTGCGCAGTTACTCAAGTGCCAACACAGTCGCGCTCGTATTATCTGTCGCAGTATTGGATGTGGACAAGTAGGTTGTCGGTGGCATGTCGCTGACCCTATACACTTGAGCTGCCAAGACGATGCGGTCGCAGCTGTCAATTGCGCGCTAATATTTACGTTGCCAAGATTTGCATGACGACCGCCCGAGTGCCGCTTAGTGCTCACCGTCATCTGCAGATATTAGAGCATCTCTGCCGAACGTTAAGGCTTTATTATGCGAACTTTGATCTTCGTGTTACCTTACATTGTATTCTCATGTGAGCTGTAAACATTCCATTTCCAAGGTCATCTTTCGTCGTTTTTTGAGAACATTTAAGGTGTGCGAGCGTAGCTGTCCCAGATCTTTCCTAGTTGTTTCCTTATAATATTTGAAAACCAAATCAATTGTTAGTGTTGTCATCCCGGTCTATCACTTTGCAGTGATCTTTGAACACTTCGCAATGATTAATGTTCACTTATGAGCGCTAATAACTGTACTTATTGAACTTTAATCATCACCGAAGACTGAACGCTAACCTGTTTCCTGTCGTCCACAGACCGGCGTGGTGATCAAGAGCGAATGTGTGGGCGTGACTTGTGGTGGGACTGTGCCCTGTACCGCGGCCTGTGCTGATGTGGCTGGTGCTAAGCCTGGTGCAGGGTGTGGAAATGCTGGTGCGCCAGCTGGTTCAGCATGTGGAGCAGGGGGTGCTCCAGCAGGCTCAGCATGTGGAGCAGGTGGAGCGCCAGGTGGTGCAGGATGCGAGGACGAGGAAGACGACGAGCAGCTGTCGCAGCTGGCGAGGCACCTCTCGCAGATGAGCGAGGGACAACTCGGCCAGGCCGGCCTCCAGGTATTGTCGTCAACTCGTGCGCAACTTAGAGGGGGAAATGAAAAAAAATTGAAATGGTGAAAAAAATGAAATTTGGCTATTTTGGTTTTATTAACTTCATTAATGTAACTTCACTCCATCAGTAATGTAACTTCGCACTCCATCAAGGCATGATATGCATCGTTACTTCATATTTCTTGTTTTTCAATACTAACTCCATTCTATAAGTTTACCATCTAACATGTTTCATCACTTGAGTTCGATCATCATTTGCTACTTGTACTCAAGTCTGCCATCTCTAGTAGGGTTGCAAGTACTATTAACTTGAGTCACCCCGTTCATCAGTCCCATAATTCCCCTCTTTTCATTCCTCTACTTGGAAGTGTTCATCAATACCCGAGACAATAGTTGTTCTGTCTCGGTGATCTTCTCACCGACGACCGAGCGATGTCTTCTATGCATTAATATGTTACAATTGTAGCGTCCTGCACTCACTCATACAGTGAGTTTGCTTGTTCTATCTCAGTTCATGTTATTCACATTATCACATTATAAAATTTTTAACCTCAAATATTTTGCGCAGGAACTCGACCAAGAAGACCTCGCCGCCCTCTTGCCTGACATCACCACTGCCCCTGCAGAAGACCCCTCAGCAGCTCAGGTGTTCCAGACGGACGGCTCCGTGCCACCGGCGAGACCCTCCAAGAGCTCGAGTGAACGACCTCGTGACGACGCGGGCGACGAGAAGGAAGACGAGGAACCCATGGACGTGGACCCCAAATCTCTGGACGAGCGGCGCAGGAAGACAAAAAATTCCAAGTGCTCGCAGGAGGAGTCAGCGGGGGATAGCGCCCCTTCCCACCTCGAGCCCTACGCACCTCTCGACTGTAGCGTGTCCAACGTTTCCCCAGACAGTGGCATACAGTCAGTCAACGGTTCCCCCCTCCACCAGGTCATCGCTTCCCCTCACCACCTCTCTCCTTTGTATCCCATAAACTCAAGAACACTTCACGCTGATACTGCGATTCTGCCAGGGGCTTCTCGACCCTATTCCCCCAGTAACCAGTACTCTCCGCCTCCCCCGGTCCTACTTCCCGCCGTTACTCCTCCACACCTTGTATCTTCGCCCTCCTGCTCCCCGCGATATCTCGAGGACGGTAACCCCGTGTCTCCCGAAATGCCAACGCTCAAATGTCAAGTAGACCCTCCCCCACCGTGGGTGTTGGACCAGCAGAGAAGACCAGTTGTTGACCCTAAGACCTCCAGTGATTTGCAGGCCAGCGATGACCAAGTTCTTACTCCTAACGAGGGGCAGCTTAAGAAGAGACCTGCCGAGCTCATAGACGGCGAGCTCTCCATGAGCGACTCAGGTCACCACACCAACGCAAAGCAAAGTGTCAGTGACCGGCCAGATTATGAGCACAGCTCAGCGACAGCCGGTTTGGAAATAAGCGAAGATATAACGGCCGCGTGCCCGGAAGAAAAAGGAGATCGCGGTCCTGGTAGACCGTCCGATATCCTTACAAAGAAGCGACCGCGCGGTCGACCTCGAAGTCTTAAAAGCAAACGCGCACAGGCAATGCAGCACAGCGTGGAGGAGTCGTTACTGGGTGCAGATAAAGCCCCGGGACCGATATCTGATTCTTGCTCTCTCCTTCCATTGGGTTTAGATAGCACAACGTTGTCAGACGTTCCAGGCAGACGAACCTCTTCCAAGCACGGCCGGAAGAATTATGATGACGGTGACCTGGACGCTGATACCCGCACCAACATTTCCGGTGTGCCTACTGACGGTCGTATGAATGACGTTAGCTACAACACGAGAGTGCGCACTCCAGCTCCTGACGCTCAACCCAAAGATTCACATTTATCGCACGAAAACGTCAATCCAGCAGGAAATGATGGGACTAAAATCAAGAGAGGTGTTGGTAGGCCCAGAAAACTGCTGAACTCCCGCTCGATCCCGACGATGAGACCAACAGCCGCGTTGAAAAATTCCTCACTCACTTCACTGCTTTAAACACCGCCCGTTCTGTCAAAACTCGACGACTTGCTCAAGCTGAGGATGATCCAGAGATGACGAGACTCGCCAAACTTGCACAAATCTTCAAAGATATTTACGATAAGTTAGTAGCTTCCAGAGACCCCGTGGAGGACAAGCCTCTTGCGTCTCCATTCATGAGTTTGCCTTCCAAAAAGAAGCATCCTAACTACTATGTGAGGGTCGGCGAGCCCATTGATCTCACTATGATCGAGAAAAACATACTGACTGGGACGTACAAAACAGCCGAGTCTTTCGACAGTGACGTGATGCGACTGTTTCATAACAGTTTACGGTACTTCGGACGCAACACACCCACGGGACGACTTGCTGTGGGACTGCGGCGTGTTTACAGCGAGTGCAAGCTTCAGTTTAAGCCGCTGCTTGAGGAGGTGCTGGGGCCAGACGGTCTGCCTGCGCCCTTTGCAGTCTCCCCAACGAGCGAAGGTTCGTTCACTTTGCTGGTTAAAAAGTTACACAGATTTTAACCAAATATTCAGAATTGAAATCCTGTATATTGTGATCCCTGCAATTCATTATTATCTGCCATTGCTCATCATTGCATGCTGCACATTCGCGACCTTATTATCCCTTATCTCAATGCACTGTGAAAAAGAACTAAATCCTTTATGTCGTTTTGATCATAGATACTGTAATTGTCATAGTGATCGTAATATTTGGTTTGCTGTGCAGCCTGCGAGTCGGACGATGAAGACATCATTCGTTGCGTGTGCAACATGCCGCGCGACGAAGGTCTCATGATCCAGTGCGAGCGCTGCCTCGTGTGGCAACATTGCGACTGCATGGGCGTGAGAGGAGCACACGGGTCGTCCCCTTCAAAGTCTCCTAAAGTCAAGCTGGAATCTCTGGGAGATCATGACGCCGCTGAGGCTTCTCATCTGCCTTCAGGTGCGTTGTCGCCCTAATGCGTTGTTGGTGCAGTATTGCAGTTGCTCGCATGACTATTTGGTGTGATGTTGTGATTGCCGGAGTTTTTTCATGTCTAAAAGACTGACATATCGTTACATAATTTCCACAAAAGTTAACAAAGATTATTTCTAAAGTGATATAAAATCTACTACTACTAACAAAAATTTACAAAGAGAGAATTTGGAATCCCCAATTTCGTAAAATTAAACATTAAGGTAAAGGATTCTGTAAGTCAGAGATATAATTTCAATAATTTGGGATTTTTGAAGCTTTAATTCCCCTACTTGAAACTACGCCTCCCCCACTCCACTCTTCAGCTGTTATGGGTTACTCTCCATAACGGCATAATTTATGTCCCCGTGCAGGAGGAAGCGACCAGTACCTTTGCGAAGAATGCTCACCTCGGCGGGTGTCGCCTGAGGTGCCCATGACTCCCCAGCCACCCGACGCTCCCTCCACTGACAAATACTTCATCAGTCTCCTCAGAGATGGACTTCAGGTCAAACAAGGTAATGACTGGATGACGCGTTGCCGGTTAATTTTCATCCGCGAACCTATTATTCATTGCATTAAAAAAAAATTGCAGGTAATTTTCTCATGGTTACACCCGATACATGTTACTTTATTTTACCCGTGCTGGTTTTTCCTGTTAATACCAAAGTTCTTCTGTTTCAAGGCTGGTTTGTTCAGCCGTGGAAGTGAAAAAGTAACATATGCTTTGTTGTTGCAGGCGATAGCGTGTACATCCTGCGGGACCGTCCCCCCCACCGCCCTGGCGAGCGCCACCAGCCCGCCTACCGCAGCGCCAAAGACACCAAGCCTCACGACCTCCTCATCTTCAAGATCGAGAACCTCTGGATTGATCAGAAGTAAGAGTTCCCTTGCATAAATTTCTTACGCAGCTGAGTAATTTTCAGGATATATTTATGTATTTATGTTTATCGATGTATATTGTATTGTACGTATTGTATATTTCATATTGTAGAAAGATATACTCCGTTTTAATTATATTACAGAACTTACGAACTTTTTTTATTGAAAGTGAACTTATTATTCTATTATAATCATGTTGCTGGATTGAGAAACGCTCTGAACTGGAATTTGAAATATTATTTTATTATTATAATATTGCAGAACTGAGAAACTATCTGCATAGATGAGAAATAACAAATTTTACTTGCGGACTGTGTCCTTTAGGGAACAGTTAGAGTCTCAGGATAGGTAAGGAGAGGGTTGGTCATCTCATTGTTTTTGATGTTACTGACCTTCATGTGAATATTGAGATGTAATAATCCGAGGATGGTTAAGCTGTTTTTTTTTTTTATATACGGGAGGGGAACAGTTTCGGCAATTTTTCATGTGTTTGTAGTAATCCAATAGTGCAATTAATTTAATTGTAATTAGTAATTTAATAGATTGTAATTAATTTAGTTGTAATTAGTAATCAAACAGATTGTAATTAATTTAGTTGTAATTAGTAATCCAATAGATTGATTCTCTTGAGTCGCAATTGTTCTGATTTTTCCCCGCCTGGCCACAGAGGGGACAAGTTCGCGTTCGGGCATCATTACCTCCGTCCCCACGAGACGTTTCACGAGCCCTGGCGAAAGTTCTTCCCCAACGAGGTGATACGCTCCCCACTCTGTGACATCCTCCCTCTCGACATGATCGTCAATCACTGCTGGGTGCTGGACCTCAACACATACTGCAGGGGCAGGCCTATTGGTGAGTTGAATCTGGATAAGCACTAGTCACGGGAGGAATCTTAGTCATTAGATAAATTCAGTGGTGGCCACAGTCCGCTAATCAGCTAACCGCCAATTAGCGAAGCTAATTTTTCCTTTAGCCTGTATGCCACACTGATGGCTGGCTACGTCAACATATGTACGTCACCCAATCACGTCTTGTGTAATCGTGAGCCTGTGTCTTCACGCTGCCTTCCTCTGATTATTTATCCTTGATCTGACTGCGTGATGATCTGACGCCTAACCACTGCCTTGATCTGACGCCTAACCACTGCCAGTGAAGAAAGCAAAATCGCGCTATGTACGATTTTATTACGAATTTTGCTAGGTGTGCGTCCTCGAGAACTTGAAATCGCGCAATGCACGATTTTTTTTTGCGAATTTTGCTAGGTGTGCGTCCTCGAGAACTTGAGATTCAGGTTCAAGTTGGCTCGTTCATTGATGGACCGCATTAATATAATTTATGATCGCATCAGTTTGGTAACTGGTTTACGTCTGCCTATCATGTTAATTGTGTTAGAATCGAGTCAGTACGTATGCTGACCTCATAGTGTAATGGTATAGACTCCAGTTCTAAAGAATATTTAGTAATCGAAATTGTTAAAGTAAAAAAAATAATTNAGATGTGTGTTGTCCCAGTCAGAATTCTGTACCTGGGATACGCACCTTGCCGGTGCAAGTAATGCTCAATCTTTGACTGCGCTAGGGTGTTGAATCCTTTGAAGGGTCCTGAATCATATGAAGGGGTCCTGAACCCTATGATGGGGTCCTGAATCCTGTGATGGGGGTCCTGAACCCTATGATGGGGTCCTGAATCCTGTGATGGGATCCTAAATCCTATGATGGGGTCCTGAATCCTATTCTGGGGCCTTTTATCCTATGACCTGGTCCTGAATCCTATGCGTCTACTGTGTGTGCTATCCAGTCGGCGTGTCGATGGTCACGAGCTAGATTCTTACAGCCCAAAAATTGTGTATTTAATTTGTCTTGTCATCATCGAGATGTTTCACAGTGAATTTGAGACAACTATGAAGTAGACCAAAGTCTTGCTAGTGGATGTCAATCCTTTCGAATTTATTACATCACTTGAATTGCAATTGCGATTATACCGAAACGTAAAATCATCGAAACGCGCTTGTTTTTCATGCTCTATTGGCTCTCCGAATTGAGCGGTGTGACGATATCGCGTGCCAAGATTTAAATAAATTTACCCTATTAAAACATTTGTGTCCATGAGTGACTGAAAATCATTAATGTCAATTAACACAAAACTGAGATCATCATATAAAGTATATCAGAACACAGGAACGGCAGGATAGGTATCTGCCTTTAACACGATATTGGTTCCCTACAAAAAAAAAAAATCTGTTAATGTCCCGTATTAATGCCGAATTCATCATTTATCACGAATCTCAAGTCATATTGCAGCAGTACTGTAATACAGTGGGCCATACTTTCAAAATTCGCTAAGTGAACGTAAGTACTTACACTCTATTTTCTTGTCTATGATTGGTGGATTTTGCTTGAAAGGCCGTCAATGATTGGCTGATGAACTTACGACCTCTTAACTTTTTTTGAAAGTATAGGCCCTGTACATTAACATATCTAAGACTATAGTAGAACATTATTTGAACCATACCTCTGCAATCTGCAGGTGCCGACATTCATTACCCTGAACACTGCAAGTAAACCCAGAGCAATGCTGCAGAAAGTCGCGCGTTTATACGTCATCATCCACCGCTCTCTTATTAATACTTGCTTTAACAGCATGGGTTTTGCTGTCTTCTTCTTGCTTCGAGGAAGTCCTCAATATTCTTACCAAAAGAATATTCTTATTCTTACTGACTGTGTCTGTAGTGACTTGAATATTCTTAGTGACTGTTGTGCGTTCAGGCCGGCCTCCAGGTATTGTCATCAACTCGTGCCAACTTAGACGGATATATGAGAAAAAAAATTAAATTTGTGGATAAAATGAAATTCGAACATTTTTGTTTTATTGGTTTATTAATGTCACTTCACTCTATCATTAATGTCACTTCACACTCCATCAAGGCATGACACGCATCGTCTCTTTATTTTTCATATTTTTTAATAAAAACTCCATTCTAAAACATCTACCATCAAACATGTTCTATCACTTGAGTTCGCTCATCATTTGCTACTTGTACTCAAGTCTGCCATCTCTAGTAGGGCTGCAAGTACTATTAACTTGAGTCACCTCGTTCGATTCATCTTAGGGTGACTTGAGTCACCTCGTTCACCAGCTCCATCATTCCCCTCTTTTCATACCTCTACTTGGAAGTGTTCATCAATACCTGAGACAATAGTTGTTCTGTCTCTTGCTCGTCTCACCGGCGACCGAGCGATGTATTTAATGCATTAATATGTTACCACTATGGCGTCGTGCTCTCACTCGTGCAATGAGCTTGCTTCTCATATCTCTGGTCAACTTAATAAAGTTATCTCATTATAAAATTTTAACCTAAAATATTTTGCGCAGGAACTCGACCAAGAAGACCTCGCCGCCCTGTTGCCTGACATCACCACTGCCCCTGCAGAAGACTCCTCAGCAGCTCAGGTGTTCCAGACGGACGGCTCCGTGCCACCGGCGAGACCCTCGAAGAGTTCGAGTGAACGACCTCGTGACGACGCGGGCGACGAGAAGGAAGACGAGGAACCCATGGACGTGGACCCCAAATCTCTGGACGAGCGGCGCAGGAAGACAAAAAATTCCAAGTGCTCGCAGGAGGAGTCAGCGGGGGATAGCGCCCCTTCCCACCTCGAGCCCTACGCACCTCTCGACTGTAGCGTGTCCAACGTTTCCCCAGACAGTGGCATACAGTCAGTCAACGGTTCCCCCCTCCACCAGGTCATCGCTTCCCCTCACCACCTCTCTCCTTTGTATCCCATAAACTCAAGAACACTTCACGCTGATACTGCGATTCTGCCAGGGGCTTCTCGACCCTATTCCCCCAGTAACCAGTACTCTCCGCCTCCCCTGGTCCTACTTCCCGCCGTTACTCCTCCACACCTTGTATCCTCGCCCTCCTGCTCCCCGCGATATCTCGAGGACGGTAACCCCGTGTCTCCCGAAATGCCAACACTCAAATGTCAAGTAGACCCTCCCCCACCGTGGGTGTTGGACCAGCAGAGAAGACCAGTTGTTGACCCTAAGACCTCCAGTGAATTGCAGGCCAGCGATGACCAAGTTCTTACTCCTAACGAGGGGCAGCTTAAGAAGAGACCTGCCGAGCTCATAGACGGCGAGCTCTCCATGAGCGACTCAGGACACCGCAACAACGCAAAGTAAAGTGTCAGTGACCGGCCACATTATGAGGACAGCTCAGCGACAGCCGGTGTGGAAATAAGCGAAGATATAACGGGCGCGTGCCCGGAAGAAAAAGGAGATCGCGGTCCTGGAAGGCCGTCCGATATCCTTACAAAAAAGCGACCGCGCGGTCGACCTCGAAGTCTTAAAAGCAAACGCGCACAGGCAATGCAGCACAGCGTGGAGGAGTCGTTACTGGGTGCAGATAAAGCCCCTGGACCGATATCTGATTCGTGTTCTCTCCTTCCATTGGGTTTAGATAGCACAACGTTGTCAGACGTTCCTGGCAGACGAACCTCTTCCAAGCACGGCCGGAAGAATTATGATGACGGTGACATGGACGCTGATACCCGCACCAACATTTCCGGTGTGCCTACTGACGTTGGTCGAATGAATGACGTTAGCTACAACACGAGAGTTCGCACTCCAGCTCCTGAGGCTCAACCCAAAGATTCACATTTATCGCACGAAAACGTCAATCCAGCAGGAAATGATGGGACTAAAATCAAGAGAGGTGTTGGCAGGCCCAGAAAACATCCCCGACCTCAAGATACGGATGCATCGATCTCAGTTCCTCCTCCACACGCCCTAAACAAGAAAATATTTTCTGATCAGATTGCGCACAAAATCATCAATGAGAAGGTTCGTAACAGCGAGAAATCCGATAAATTATCTGTTCATGGAACAGTGCTTGATGGTGGAGGGACACCACGCGATGACCGTGCGTCTGATGCCCCTTCTGAAACGTCAGTTCGATGTCGTAGTCGCAACGACTCCCCGAATATCCGAACAAACTCCCCCAGTACATCCGAGCACCAGCCCAGGAGCAGAGGCCGAAGAGGCGCGAGAACCGAAGGCATTCCTCTGGAGGAAAGGAAGAAAAAACGGGGACGCAAGAAGGAACTTCCTGCCATTTTCCGCAAAGTTTATGGCTCTCTGGCTGACGATTCAAATTCATGGAACAAACGGGACAAAATTGTTACGACCGTCGCTTGTTCTTCATCAGTTGGCATGACCAACTGCGCCCCTGCCTCAGATACTCTAAATTTGGCTGCAGCTTCTCACTTAATCTGTAAGAAGAAGAAGAAACACCACACGCAATTCAAGAGCAAACACCGTAATATTGTTGACCCTGTTTTTCTGGCTTCATTAGAAGAGCTTTTACTTGAACTCGAGAAATGCACCATCACCAAAGGAGGTGTCAAGCCACCCGTCGGGGCATGTGGCAACGTCGATGCCCCTTTACCCGCCATATTCAGGGTGAAGAAAGGAATTTTCTCCGCTATGGGAGGCAAGAAGAGACGTGCCACAGATAAGCGGACCAGCGACCGGGAGTCCGGCACCGAGGCAGATGCAAAGGAGAAAATCACTGGCAAGAGGAAAAAAAAACTGCAGGAAGCTCCTAAGCAGGAGAGATGGCCATCTGTGCTCGTGCGTGCAGAAGGTTGAGAACTCTTCTTAATCTTCCTTGGCTGGCCATAATCTGCTGTAGTTCAGGTCCTATTTTGCTCACAGGATGATTTTTGTTTTGCCATGTCATGTCCTGTTTAATTTACGTGATCTCGTGGGGAATGATGTAAAGGGAGCGTCAAGCCTCAGTTACTTGGTTTAAGTCAGTTATTTCATTTTTTTCGTTTTCCATCATTATCTGCAGGATAAATACGGTTTCATTTATTGTAGCTCTTGGTAACTATTCCAAAATTTTTGTTTTACGGTTTCAGTCATTGATGATATTCGTATCTGAATTTATTTCTACCATTTAGCCCAGCTTTAATGAATGATCACAAGTTTTAGCTATACATTTTTTTGAAATTCATTTGATTTTATCACCACAAACGCACCTTTAACATGATTTTGTTCGGCATCATTAATATAGAAATATTTGTGACCTTGCAGGGCCGTGATCGCTCTGAAGCCAACGAGCAGCGGCTGCCTCTGAAGAAGCGCCATCGCCATATCTCGACAGCCGTTCCCTCAGACGTCACTCCTTCGTTTTCTTCAACGCCACACACAGCAGCCAACTCTCCTGGTTGCCTCGTAAATATTTCAACTGATCATCACAGTCACATTTCAAGCCACTCTCCCGGGTCAGCCAATAACACAAAGAACTTTGCAGACGTAAATAATCCGTGCCCGCATATCGACGCAAATCATCTTTGTGCTGTAATAAAAGATGTTGATGAAGCCTTGCCTATTACTAGAGGGCCGTCACACTTCACCGAAGAAATTTCCGAAAATAATAGCAGTACCTACAGAGATTTTTCATCACCGTATATTGTCCGGAGCGCTGTTCAACAAAACAACAACAATGATACAAATAAGAACCTTCAGTTAGCGGCATCTGAGCTCTCCAAAGACTTGACCCATACAAGTTTTTGTGGCGACTGTCCTCCAGCACCACAAGATTTTGACGATGCTCACAAAGTTCCCTGCGACGCAAAACTAGTTGTTGGTTTAAAACCAATAAATGTTACTTCAACGTACTCTAGTGAACATTGTTCGGAAACAAATAGAAATTCTGCTGAACAACTTCCAATTCGCGTGGAAACCCCGAGCACTTCAGTACCGTATGATACCTCAGATCACGATGCTGTCAACTCATCGATGTCTTCGTGTTCCGTCAACGCCCGGAAGCCAGAGATCCTAACGCAGTCTTTGTCCACAACCACCCCGAAAAAACGTCACCGCCTGGAAGCTGAGATGAGGATCAGCTCCATCTCCGCCCAAGAAGGCGCTGCTATCGATGGATGCAGTCCTGCAGCTTTGCCTCTTCTTGATGAGGTACCTGCCGTCGAAGCTTGTCCTGAATCTCAGCCATCTGGAAAAGGGAAAAGCAGCTTGCCACCAAGCAGTCCCACCAAAACTCGAAGTAGCAGAGGAAGAGATTCGCCTAAAGATTATGGCGAGTTGGTGCGCGTTAAATTACCTCGAATGGCGAAAGCTTCAAATGAAGGCTCTCCTGTAAATCGTACAAGTAGTCCTACAAAGTTACCCTGTGACAGAGTCACAACCCGTCTGTCGAAGTCTCCTAGCGTTAGCCCAACGGCTTCTCCAGTGAAACGGCGTTGCGAGTCCAGAGCCAGCACGGTCTCCACTCGATCTCGCTACGACACTCCAAGTAAGCCTGGAACTCCAGACCTCATTGCTGACACCAACGTGTCACCTGAGAGCATCGCCCAGGATATCATCATTACTGATGGCATCTTAGAGTCTGCTAAACGCCAAATTGATTTACTTGAATGTAAAGTAGATTTATCTCCTTTGGAATTGCCAATCCAGCAAAATTTAACTATTCCTATCAATTCTTCGTCTATGAAGGAGATTAATAGTGTTGTGACAAATGAAGGTACTCATTCAGATAGTGACATTGCAAGTGAGCACGAACCCCTACGAGAAAGCGATCAGAGTGGCTTCATGTCTGATAAAGAAGAGCCCAACGAGGCGCTGAAGGAGCGATCGAGTCCGCCGCAGAAAAGACTCAAGAAAAAACGAGAGCTGCGATCACCAAAACAGCTTGCTTTACGGGAAAGTATTGTTCAAAGTTTGCCAGAAATTGATGAAGATGAGAAGGATGTTCCATCTCTTCCTTTCAAGAAGAAGCACATAAAGAGAAAGCCAAACAGAACTGGATTCCCTACTGTGAAGAGAAAGAAGAAACCCCGAGCTGTTACCGACGATGAGGAAATGGATTCAGCTGCTGATGCCGAGACACTTCTACCACTGACGCAGCCTATGGAAGTCGAGGATGGCTTCAAGCGTCAGATTCCTATTGAAGAAAAAAGTCTGGTCTCAGTTGTGCCGGAGGTTTCAAAGCAACGCATGAGAGGCAGACCAAAGAAAATGCGTCCGGCTGTTACGTCATTTGAACATGATGGATCACTTAAATCACATGAAAGCGAAAGTGACATCCTTGACAGGTTGTCTCCAGCAAGGACGTCCCCTCTCTGTAATTCCCAATCCAATGATGAAGAGACTAAATACACAAAGACTGAAACTAGTAAAGCTGAAATTCTTGATGCATTGCCGAATAGCTGTCCTAACGACCCCGCAGATGAAGATGAGCTCCCTGACATTTTGCACTCCAGCGAAAATATCTCACCAGGATTCCCTACTGTGGGCGATCACCGACTACACCGGGACTACACCGGGCGATCCTCTAGTCTGCAGAAAGATAGCAAACTTAATGATGAAAAAAATTTACCAACCACTGAAGCAAATGATGTTTCTACGCCGGATTTAAGTCTGCTACCAGAAACAAAGACTGAGGAGACGATTTTAGCTTCAGACAAAAAGGACTTGGTAGAAGCAGGAGGCATGAATACATCAGGCATAATCAGGAGCGGAGGAGGCGCTGTGGTGAGCCGTGGATGGTGTGCGGGGCCCCTGCTGCTGGGTGGGGCCAGGACCAGGAGGAAGAGAGAACTCATCTTAGAGGAATTATCTAACCCCACCCTCAAGAGGAGAAGGAAGCTACTGCCCCCGCAGCGTGACCACCGCTCCATCGTGAGTATAGAAAAGCTGGCTTAAATTGTTGCGGTGAGCTTTTATATGTGGCACGTGAAATCTTTCACGTATTTCGGACCTTCGGTTCAGGACTAGTAATTAATCCAAATTTTGTGGAAAATTCAACGAGAGAATTTTTTTTTTCGCAGGTACCTCTGGAGTCTTCTGAATTACACACTGCATCTCCGTGCCTACCTGACCCATTGCTTGCCGAGTTCGCTGGTGACGGCGCTCCTGCCGAGATGACAGAAGGCGATGGCAGCGGCACCAGCACTGACGCTGGCACTGGAGGTGGCACTGTGAGCAGCGAGCCTGCCAGCTGTGATGAGAGCACCCGTCCCTCGCACGCCAAGCGCCGCATACCGCGCTGGAGGAAGAAGTACCTCGTGGCGGGACTCTTCTCTGATTACTACAAGCAGGACGAGTGAGTCGCGACCTCCATTGTGAATTGGTGACTGAAAAAAGTCACTGTGAGCTGCTCAAAAAGTAGGACAAATGTTATCGAACAACTTCGTGGAGACAATGTTGGCCACAAATCTTAAACAATGTTGATCAATAATGTTGCTTATAACCATCGTAAAGCAAGGTTTATCTTTGAACGTACTCCCGATTCATCTTCCTTATCCCCATTTTGCTGAGAATTTTCATATGTTACAGACCGCCTCCTCGCCGCAACGGTGATGTGCTGGCGATGGTGCGCAACCACAAGTCTGCGATGTTGGCGACCAGTTTGATAGAGAGGCCTGCATCGCAGTCTCCCTTGCTGCCCCCTCCTTGCTACTGCAGGAAATGGCTTAGGGAGCGCCTTATCGACTTCAAGCTTCCTTATGACCTCTGGTTCCTGCATACCTACAACTTCCTCCCCGGCAGGGACCTCGTGCCTTCATGGAACTACAAGAAAGTCAAGTCCAGTGAGTATTGTTCTGAACAGAAGAGACTCTTTGTAATTCATGTAATTTCAGAGTTGATGATCGAAAGCAGCAGAGAAAAACTCACAAAAATCAAAGTTAAAAATTCTCACGAAATCTTCTTGACTATTTTATCAATTCAAAACTTACTGCTTAACGCAGTGGCGTCATTGGCAGTATGTTCAAGATACTACACTGAAGTGGACAAGTGAGTGGACTTTGCTCAATAATGGGTTTTCAGCACATTTTAAATTAAGTCATGCATTTTTTATCTCTGTTATATCAAGCTTCAGCTAACTGACCTTTTGCCACTCAATTTTGCTCTGTGCATGTAACTAGTGTTATGTTTCCTGCAGACATTTTTTACGACGTGAAGCCGAGCCCTTGCGCTGCTGAGAGCCAGCCCTGCAACTGCCGGCGCCCTCAGGACGCCGCGGCGCTGGGTTGTGGCGACGACTGCATCAACCGCATGATGTTCATTGAGTGCAGCCCTCAAACCTGCCCCATTGGTGACCGTTGCTCAAACCAACGTATCCAGAGGCACCAGAGCCTTAGTTGCCTCATGCGCTTCATGACTCCCAACAAAGGCTGGGGCATTAAAGTCACGCAGCCCATCAAAACAGGGACTATCATTCTTGAGTATGTGGGGGAAGTAGTGAGCGAGAAGGAGTTCAAACTTAGGATGCAGACAACCTACGCCAACGACACCCATCATTACTGTCTTAATCTTGACCGCGGTCTTGTGATAGATGGCCACCGTATGGGCGGCGATTGCCGTTTCGTTAATCATTCGTGTGAACCTAATTGTGAGATGCAGAAGTGGGGAGTGAACGGCCAGTACAGGATGGCTCTGTATGCCCTGCAAGACATTCCCAGTAGCACATTAGCCTGTATGCCACACTGATGGCTGGCTACGTCAACATATGTACGTCACCCAATCACGTCTTGTGTAAGCAATCACGTCTTTTCTCACACAAGACGTGATTGGGTGACGTACATATGTTGACGTAGTCAGCCATCAGTGTGGCGCACCGGCTAAGGTAAAAGTTAGCTTCGATTATTTGTGGCTAGTGGATGAGCGGACTGTGCCCACCACTAGATATATTGAATGTTAATTAAATGGACACTAGCCATTACGGATACTATACTAATGGATATTAGTCATTGGTCTTAGCTTCAACCTTTACGAATCGTTACCTTAGGCTCTATTTAACCTTGCCGTCAAAACTGGATCGCTGGTAATGCAGCTGCAGCCTGCTTCATTTCATGGGACGACAGTCATTGCTTACCGTCTCATGAAGCTCGCTTTCTTCATAGAGTTTTGAAACATGAAATAACAGGCCAATGTTTTTCCTGGAATTTTATTGTGTAAGATATGATATTTCTGTCATGGTGAATAATTTTAACGAATTTTTTATTATTAGCCATTATTTTTTATTTGTGACGAGTTAAATTTTCGCTTTACTCAATGTTTGCATCTACTAGTCAATGTTTCATAAGTGTTCGTAACTCGTGCTTCGTTTACCTTAATGAATCTAAGATTAACTCTGTTCCGCTGTCCTAAATTTGGTTCTCATGAAAAAACTTTCTCGATTTGTCTCTCTCACTGTTTAGTTTGCCATTCAGGGTTGCAAAAAATTGAATTAAAGCATATGTTCCGCAGTGTTAGCATAATTCAAAATTTTTTCACTTATTATTTATCACACATATGATTGTGCATATTTAGACGCTGTAGCTCTACTCGTTGTTCCAGCTAAGATCTCTTGGCAAAACATGTTGATAATTTTATAAATATATCTGACGAGGTAAATTTATGTGTTTTGCGCCTCGGTGTTTTGCAAATCCTTATGCTGTCCTTCCTCACTTGCGCAGAGGCGCAAGAGGAGCACGTGTACGTTTGCGAGTACCGCGTGGATAAGAGCGCTCGAGTCTTCAGCAAGATCAGCAAGCCCAAGTATCCGATCTGCACAAAGTCTTTCGCCTTCATCTCCTTCCCCACCAGACTCAAGCCACAGAGGACATACACGGTTTGTCTCTTTTTTATTCCAACATTATATAAAATCACCAAGTTCTTTTAACTATTATTCTCCCAAAGTCATGCATGGCGTATCTAGACTTATTCGTGGTCTTTATATCTAATTTTGTTATGTATAGTGCATTGTTGGTATCTGTTAGTAGACGGTTTGCCTAAAATGTGTAATGTTGGATCTCCTCTAAAATATTGAATGTCTCTCTGCAGCCCCACGAAGTGATCCTAAATAGTCGCGGGTCTAAAGGCGCTACCAAGAAGGAATCCTGCAAGGAACCGATGACAAAAACTAAGAAGCTGGGCACCAGGAACTCCGTCTTGGGGTCCAACGACGTCTCCATTAACGACGCTGCCGAGAGGAGCAGTCCCGCTAGAAGTTCAGGTTTACCTAGCAGGAGCAACAGCCACTCGGTCGAGCGGAATGACATCAGGGTTCAGGATGGCAGGACTGAACTGACCGCGGAGAAATTACTTGGTCCCACCATTCCTTTGGTGAGTCTAGTGCTAGTGCACGTTTTGAATATAAAACGTCAAGGAAATTGTTCTTGTCAACTGCCCAGCTTTTTTGTTTCATATGCCGACTGAAACTTGGTGTTAAAAAAAAGAGTCCTTGTTATTTGTGAGTGGTCTCAAATAATTTCTCAGGGGCGACGTTCATCATAGCATTTACACAATCAACAGTTTTTCTGGAGATTTTATGAGTAATTTAAGCTATTTCATATTGCAGGCGGCAAATGTGAAGACTCGCGCGGGCAAACAGGAGCGCGTAAATTGCGTGGCGTCACGGCTGCTGGCGAAGGTTGGAGGGCCGAGTCTCGGTGGCTGTTTGGGCGGGAACCTGGAATCCCTTCTGGAGCGGCGAAGCGGTAGAGGCAGAGGACGAGGTCGCCGACCCATGAGGCCCATAGGAGGCACAAGAGGCAGCTCGACCAGATCTACTGTTTTAACGGACAAAGCATCCAGTCCGGAAGCAGAAACTGACGATGGACGAGACGGTGCAGGTTTTCGGGCGACGAAACGCGTTGCTGGGAGGAGAGGGAGACCTGGAGGAGCCAATGTGGGTGATAGGAGGAGAGCTGGCAGAGGAGGAGGATGGGAGAGGAGACGGAGTGATCCGGATTACGCCCTACTTAACCGGAAAAGAAAGCTTAGTGGTGATGGTGATCTCGAAGAGCAAAAATATTCCAGAAGGTGTTTGTCAAGGGCCAAAACCCGCGGGTTTACGGCTGAGGCTGCTAAGGAGGAGAATCTCCACAAGTCTTCTTCAGAAACGAAGATTCACGAGTCTCCAGTTAAGGAAGAACGCGAAAGTGTATTGAGTTTTCAGAGTAATAAATCACACAAATCTAAAAGGCATGGCAGACGAAGGTTGAACGGAATTAGAAAATCGCCTGAGAAAGTTGCAACATCTAATGTTTCCATAGATGGGGATACCGTTTCTGACGATCTCGAAAAAGTGAAAGAAAGTCCGATTCGTGATGTATCGCAACTCGCTTCAGATATGGATGACTCAACCCGCACAGCTAATAATACCACCAATAGCACCTCGATTAATATTGAGACGAAGACTTGCAATGACGTTGACTGCTCTACCGAAGAAGCATCCAATCACGTTGCAGGTAATGATGGTGATTGTCAAGACCCTATCGCAGGCAAAGTTTCCGTTGCACGCGAAGTTGAGGATTCTCCTAATAATTCTCTGAAAACTTCATCTAAATCCGATAGCAATGTTCCATCATCAGAACAGATAGCAGTGGCCAACGACGCAGGAATTTCATCCGAATCAATCGTGGAGAGTGAGAACAATGTCATTGCCGATACGGCGAGCATGAAAAACAATGCAAGTGAGCACAGCGACGAGGAAGCTCCTATCTGCACAAACGTTCCTGCAGCTCAACCTTCGCAAGAGTCTTATCAGAAAGCCACTACCGAGGTGCTTGGTGTATCTGAAGAGGACGAAAGCGGTCAAAACTCAATTATTAGTGAAGATAATACTGTGGACGCGTTAAAGCTTTTGCAGAAAACTGATGGTGCAATTTCTTTGGAATCTCACACCGAAGCAGATTGTGCTGACGATATAGAGAGCGGCAGTTCACAGTCGTCAATCTCAGACCCGAGGTTGATACTCTCTCCTGGAGAGAGCAAGCCAGAAGATGCCTTAAGTAGAGTTGACTGCATGCCTGAAGCAAGCAATAAGCATGATATTTCTCCGGCTGAAGCTGCTAAACATTCCTGTGCCAACTCTTGTGATAGCGCAGACGCTACTCCCTCCATTCCTTCATCTGCCATTCCTCCTTCCTCGCCAACATTCCAGCCTTCTGAATGTTCCTTGCCGGAATCGCAAGAAAATTCCATTTCCGAACGCCCTCCCTCACCGATGGTCGATAAAGCGCGTCCTTCTGCCGTCGTCACTTCACAGCCAACCGAACAATTCTCCGACGCGACGGACGACACTAATAAGAGTGAATCAAAACCTGCCTCAGAGACAACTGTCTTAACGTCACCCCAGAAAAAACAAAGAAAGAAAATTAATTCGGCAAAATCTTGAAATTCGATTTGATGAAAATCGAGTAAGGAAGAAAATTTACCCGCTCAAATCTTGAGGTATAACGCGATCAAAATTGCATCATATTCGTATTATTGAATTTAACCTGACGTGATATATAAGAACATTCGTACGATAATTTACTACCTGATTGAATTTCAATTTATCACATTTAAAGGTAACATTATTGGTAATTTACCTAGGTATTTCATTCTTCGTTAAACATGTTCAGGTTTGCACATTTTCTATCTTGATTAAATATTTCCAATCGATGGAACTGCGTTAGATTTAGTTGCTAAAATAAGCGATCACTTTCATACGAGAGCCATGGTTCACGTCACCATCGCTACTCACACGTGACCAAATAGCAAACCAATTCAGTGAATTGGGTAATTGATACTCGTTTAAATTTAGCTGTATTCGTTTTATTCTTTGTATATTTGTTATTTATTATTTTCGCGCGGTGCTTAGTATGTTCGCTGACGTTTTATTAATGCAAACCGAGCGAGTCGAGGTTACTGTTTCTCGCTCATGTTGCTGGCTTTATTTCAAATTCGAATATGTGATAACGCAATTTCTTTAAAATCACGCTATGAATTGTGCTGTGTATCTTAGTTAGAGTACATTTACTTTGATATGTATGTCACGGACACGAGAGAACGAATGGAACGCGCCTTCGTCACTCAAACGTTCGTATCTAGGAGTTATCATACGCTATTCGCACCCGATAATAATGACTGTACCCGCTCAAATTATATCTAAAAATTTATTCGCTCCGAATTTATATCGTTGAGATGCTGTGTATATTCCCGGTAAAATTGACTACCACCCGGACTGCGAGGTGTTGAGGGAGGTACCTCGCATAACAGTGCGTTTTATTTTCTCTCCATTGTGTTGAGCAAATGATATACCATCTTTATTACTGTAGACATCGATGTTCTGCAGCAACCAAGCGAGACGCGGTAATCTCCATCCGAGTTATACACATTCTTGCCATAATGTCTACTTACTGAGAGACTAGCTACTAGAACAAGCCTATCTTTATTTATTACAAGATCAATTAGTGATAGATCATTTCCCCCCCAATCGTTGACTATCAGCTTGTCAGCGAAGCGTTTAGTAATAAATCTACTGCAGCTCCACTCTGTGAACGCGGCAGCTCTGCCATCGTGTAGCTTGTGTGTGTGAAAAGGTTAGAGGATGAAACTTTCAAGTACAAACTCTTTGTTGAACTGTAACTATTATGGCAAGTTATTGTGTAAGTTTCGGCAATTATCTTAATGCTGCCGAATTATCGTTAAAAGTCGCCGCGGTACCACAACGGTTAGTAAGCCGAAATGCTAATGTAAGAATGGTTCTCGTGCTTGCGCTTCTGAACTTGTAGCGCGAAAATATCAGCTTGACCTTAATTTTTTTTTTACTAGAATACATAATCTTTCGCCGAGTTTCTTTTTGGGCGCGAACTTATTCAGCATCTATTTTCTTAGAGATTTTTACGGCAGTAAATAGTTTTTCCTCTAATTCTTGTGATAACGTTCATTTGCTTCGCAAATCTGCAAAACACGAAGTTTGTTGAGTATTGGTGATGTTTTCGTTGAGCACAGGCTGTGTCACGCAGATGCTTAGGGACATTTCGCTCGTGTTCGTTCGCAAGATTTCTTAATAGGCGTTTGTGTACATATTCATAATGAACTGTAGAATAAGCATCGAAGCATAGATTTGTGACGAAAAAATTCAACTGTAGAAATTCATCCTGTAATATTGGACGTTATTGACGCTAATCTGCCGACAATATATCATGATAGGCTCCTGAGAGGCAATTGGCATCTGGTGTAGTGGCTACTAAAATTTATAACCCATGCACAATATATTCCTACTAACCGCACACACGGAGCCCACTATTCTAATTCTCATCAATTACCAAAAAAATCGCACAAACTTTTTGCCGAGTCAATTCATAATATATTTGTTATGCAATTTTATTGCGAGTACGATGTTAAATTATTCGGAAAAATACTCGCAACAAACATGAAATCTGATTCGTTTTACTGTATTGGCAAATTAAAAAGAATATTTATGCAAATAACTCGTACATTAAATAGGATAATTTTATATTCTAGAAGTTGACACTCGTCGAGTTACGTTAAATTGAATCGCTTACTATTTAAACTTTTTGTGGATAACATCGTTCTAAGAACATCACCAAAGGTTAAATATGAGGTCATTTGTATATACATCATAAAAATACCAGTGACTATTATAACTTTTATTTTCCTGCTCACAAATCGAAAACAGTGGAATTTGATAGATGGCCGCGTGTTGAGAATCGCACTGTGGCCGCGCACGGAAATAGCGTCTGCAGGAGAAAAAAAAAATCGTATAAAACATGAATGTTATTTCATCTTGAATGCTCAATAAATTTGATGATGTATCCTATTTGTGTCCCGAAGATCACATTATTTTTTTTTTCAAAAAATTAACTTTAGCACTTAGAATGTAATACCATGGTGACTGAATAGAGAAGGTTATAACTTGGTCGTGAGTGTATATAGATTAATGTAGTATATACATCAAAAATATTTCAGTAAGATGCTAGTTTTTACACATAGTGAATGGAAATAGGACGATTTGACTTGAGGAATTTTTTCTGGATATTCATTTTGCAAGGCCCAAAATGACCTTTCATTGTCAACATCACCAGACGAGCCTAAGTGTTCCAGCAATCAAGCACTAAGTTGTATATAAGAGGTGTGGTTGAATGAATGGTTGAGATACTGAATTCAATTTTGCCAACCTGCTGGACTAGATCGACTCGCGCTGCTTCTTCTTCTTTTTCTTCTTCTTGGCGGGAGTTTCGCTCTGTGAAAAACACAACACAATCAGAACAAATGAAGATAATACTAATTTTGAAATCTTCGTATTCATAAAATCCTCTTAACTGAGAATGAATTGTATCGTCAATTTATGATTTTTCCCACAAACAACACAGCATCATAAGTACAACTTGACCAAGCACGTCAGCAGAACATCGTCATCTGCACAGCTCAACCAAGCGAGTGTCAGCACAGCTCGATCAAGCGAGTGTCAGCACAACAACAGCGAGTGTACGTGTTGAGCTGGTTCGCTCACAGTCGTTTTGTTCATGACTTGCAACTCACAGTCTCATCGTTCTCACGGTGCAGCTCTTCCACGCAAGCCAGCGTCTGGTTCGCATCTTCCTCGGGCTTCTTCTTTTTCTTCTTCTTCTTCTTGAGCTGCGGTTCTTCTGGAGTCCCGTTCAAAGTTTCTGCAACACCACCACAGATTTTAACACGGGTAAGTTCCAGGTGAAGCACAGATAAATTTATACGGAGAATTTCAAAACACATGAAAAGATGCTTTCATAGAAATGTTAGCAAACTGGTACTTAAATGAAATAAATGACATAATTTATTCCAACCAAACGAACGTAAACAAGATTGCAAGTTGGATTAGTTGAATTGATTAGGGAAAATTCTTGAACATGTTCAATGCAACGTTGGGGGGCGAACAACGACATAACAAATATAATCCAGCTGCATTCCCTTAGAATGTGTAATAATTACAATGTGAAAATATTTTACATGTTCTTAAAAGTAAAAGAACTTAGTCAAGATTCCACAGCAAACTTATATCTAAGCAGAAACCAAAGGACAGGCGTAATCGAAGTCTGTTCGCATGAATAAAATATAACAGAACTTCATCACTGTTCGCGCTATGAGCTCAAGTATATATACGCATGAATGTTATGTATGAGAGAAAGAAGAGCGAGGTCGATGTGGGAAGAGGAACGAGATGTCTCGGCCTGGGCTGGACACTCAGAGATCTTCCTAGTTTGCTCTAGGAGACGATAAATTCCAGAGACGATTTCAGACAACTGAAGTCATCGCCAAAGTCTCCGCTTACAACAGCTGCAAATGCTTCAACCAACTAAAAATACTACGTATTTGTGAGAATATTAGAAATTTTTACAACAGAACTAAGGCAATTTTTAGGGGATTCTTGTGACTTGGCAATCAAAAAATAACAAACATTCTTGTCACTTAGCAATCCCATGGACATATTTCCTTAACTTAATTCGAAAGCCATCAGCTACAGCTCCAAATGATTGACGCATAACATTGGAGAGCCACACCACTGTTGACTCCCATAACCTCAAAGTCTGCTTCATCACAATGGGAGAATAAAAAATCTAAATCCGTTTCATAAATCTCGAACGCAGCCGTCGTGCACTGCACATATTCCTTCCAACAGCAAATTACCAATAATGGTTCACCTAATAATGGTTCACCTAATGGCTGACCCACCGTAAATCCCTTTCTCCTTCCTTACAACCACAAATGTGCTCAGAATAACTACAGCTCCTGTATGTCATCGCCGTGACTCTTCCCACCTTCCAACCACAGGCGTTGTGGACAAGAACAACCTTCAGTTCTCACCCCTGTGACTCTTGTATCCCTCCCAGCAGTCACACACGCGTGCTGAGAAAGAATAGCAACAATCCCCAATTCTCACCATCGTGTCCGTTTTCGCCATGACAGACAAGGTTTTCACCGTAAACCCTTTTCCTTATTTACAACCACAAACGTGCTCAGAATAACTACAGCTACAGCCGTGACTCTATCCTCATTTCAACCGCAGGTATTGTGGATAAGAAAAACCTCCAGTTCTCACCCCATGACTCTTGTATCCCTCCCATCAGTCACACACGCGTGCTGAGAAAGAATAGCAACAATCCCCAATTCTCACCATCGTGTCCGTTTTCGCCATGACAGACAAGGTTGTCGTCTCGTTTCCTTTTCTTGGTCTTCTTTTCGCTGGCGGTGAAGGCGTCGTGCTCGCGCTGGGCGTCTGCCATAACCTCGAGGTTCTTGCGCGGGATGTCGCCGCTCTCGTAGAACTTGAGGCGGTCCTCCACCTGCTGACGCAAGTTCTCTCCGAACTTCGTGGACAAGCTTTCTGAAATTTGCAGTTTGTTTTTACATTTTAAGTCTTTTTGCAGTTTGTTTTTACATTTTAAGTCTTTTAACCAGATGTTGCTTGAAGTCAGAGAGTATTTCATTTTTTTTTGTTTAATGGGAATGGAAATTTTTTTCAATTGGAAACTTTACGTACACTAGCTTGATCATTGGTTGATTCTCTTTTTCTTAATTACAACACATCTCTTTAACTTCACTTCTTGTTGTTTGTTTGTTTGTTTGTCTGCCACAAATCTTATAATCGATATTTAACACACTTCTACCTGTTCAATCGATCTGAAATTTTGCACACTTGCGTAAAGTTGGAGACAGTGCATGAATCGATTGACAGAATAAATAATTTTGGAAATTAAAAATTTTTTTTCCAATATTTAAAAAAATTTACAAAATAATTTTGTCAGCTACAAATCTTATAATTGATATTTGACACACTTCCACCTGTCCAATTGATCTGAAATTCGGAGGCAATGCATGAATCAATTGACAGAATAAATAATTTTGGAAAAAATGTATATATTAAAAAAAATTGAAAATTAATTTTTCAACACGTTGACTCCGAAGTGGTACATATGCGTACCACGAAATGTATTTGGGTGGACGTAGTGGTACATAATTCAGGTTGTCTAAAATCGGCCAAATGCGAGAACAGAAGAGGCCAAAAAAGGCCGATAACTCAATATATACTAGTTTATTTGTAGGTTTCGCATTTATTTTCTTCTTGCAGTATTAAAAATTTAATTAGGAAGTATCCCCTATCATAAATTTTAGCCGGCCAACGCAATTGAGAAAAACTAAATCACGGAATTGGTCCAGAAAAAATGACCGTCCGGCAACCCTGTTTAAAAACAGTACAAAAAATGGAATAATAGTACAAGATGAAGCAATCGTAGTCAACGTGCTAATATTCGAAAATAAAATGAGAAATTCATTGTACATCTTTAACATTGCAGACACTGGATTCTTTAGAAGTGTTGTCTTTGAAAGGTAATTTTTAAACGTATATTTTTCGGGTGCGCAGCCGTAGACCAGCAAATTAACGCTCAAATAAGCCCTGTAGCCAACATCAACCATCTAAATGCTGTAGATATTGTCATCCTGGCATCTAAGCAGCTGTAGTCAATTGACCTATCTCACCACACGAACTTTAAACCAACACTGCTTCAGCACACAAGCTGCTACTCCACATAGTTGACGGTCAATACGTTGTTCTTCAATGCTTTATAACCCATACCATCACTTATTACACATGCTGTTATCCTAAGTGTCCGCTGACCACACTGCATTGCCGCAAATGTGAACTGTACCAAACGGTAATGCGTCATCACCTTACTTACTCCGCAAGACATGAACCCAGCGTCACTGTTTCCCTGCCCTACTATCCCTCAGCATCTTCTTCCCCCCACACTTACCCCGACTCTCCACCATTATCGCATGACTAACTGGAGGCTTTTCTCGCAGACCTTTTAGAGCTGTTGGACGGTTTTCAATACGGCGTAGAGCGATTGTATTGGTGGCTTACTTCTCATTAGCTCGCTGGTTAATTTCCATGAAGGGGATTTGTACCATTGGCTTTTAACTTGTAATCCCTTAGTCTACTCTGCCCTTTAGCAGGCTTACGCACGGAAAGGAGGATGAAAGATATGCTGGCCTCCGGCATGCATCCCTATTTTTCTATTTTTGGTCGACTTTTGATACTTAGTTTAAAAACGGATTAGCTCAAAATCACAACAAAATAAAGTCTAAACAATTGAACTATATTAGTTCACAATAAAAACGACTGGATTACATGAAAGTTTCTCCATGTTACTTCATCAAATGATAGAGACGTGACGATAGATTATTAGAGTAGGGACACCAAAAATAACTTAGCTTTATCAGTGCCGAACTAAGCGCAAACATAGAGGGTCAGGGTCTTAGCCTGCCTTATAAGCAATCCTCTTGTGTTTAGTGTCATAGATTGGGCTGAATCTTGGTTGTGCAGTTGAAATGGTTAGTCGCATAAGGACTCACAAAGTAATTTTCCCAAACATATTTCATATTTATTAACAAAAATATAATACCTGACTATGAATTTCATCATCTCAAATTTGTCGTGCAGAGGTTTCTATGGCAGTTTATAAGTAAAACAATGGAGCTTATTCAGGGCATACTTACCGCTGAAGCAGTCGATGCGCGAGGCAATAGAGCATTTGTTGGCCAGGAAGCGGGATATCCTGCCCTTGTCTGAGGATGCAGCCTTGCCAATGAAAGAGGCGTGGTAGAGGAGGCCATACTTGGGCGTGTTGCTGCGAGTTTTCAATGCACGGAACAAAGCCTTTTCTGCTCCTAAAATTTGAACAGTTGACGCCGGCATCTTGGCCAGGTTGGTGAGAGAGCCTGCATGGGAAATGAGGCGAGCTGCAACCTGTGAATTTATGAAAACATTAGATGTTGTGAAAAACCTTCAGTTGCATCTGAGTAACAATTTATGATCGCTAGTTTTTCCCCAATACCAGGCAGATGACAATTCAATTCATGAAATGATTTTGTCCAATTTCATTACTTCTTCCGCGGAAAACTTGTTTGTAGAAGAGGTTCTGTGATTCAGGCCTAATATCAGAAGGAGTACGGAATTTTTCTCCAAAAACGTAATTCTGTTAATAGTGCTATACTGTACAAAACTAAGAGGCATTTGATGCTCTTCAACTGATAACAATTACACAACACAAGAGCAAGCTAGACCTCATGAAGTGTGCCACGGTATTCAGTCATCACTCATCACATGAACGTGTTCACACCACAGTTCATACCACTAATTTCATGTCTACAACAATAAAATGTAAGAAATATTTTAGTATCTTCCATATAACAGCATTATTAATATCATCTATTTATTTATCAATTCATAGCTCGTATATAAAGCAAACATTACATGCTTAGTAATGAATATTCCAGATCACTTAGTGATTTTCAACGTAACATGAACACAAATATTAATTAAACAGAATCTAAATTAGATGCAATGTCATTTATACCATTCTATTCATATTTTTTGTGAATATTATTGTCATGATTGCATTAAATCAAAATATTAATATTGATAATGCACAATCACAAGACACACCTGATCACCAACAACAGCGCCCAGGTTAGGCGCGACATTGTTCATGGTGTTGCTGAGGTAGCCAGTCATGTTGCGTCTGAATGACGTTAGGCTGATGACGCGCTCAGCAAACATGAGAATATTTGCCATGTCCGCGTCGTTGATATCCGTGCCCATGCTCATGCGAGCAGCATTGATGATCTCTTCAGCCTTATTCTCGTCCTGCACTATTTGCACCAGCTCAGGCAGCTTGGAGTCATCCATCAACGATTCTTTTCTTTCAATAACCTTCAGGACTCGAGCGTATTGGTAGTGGTTGTCAACAATGCGCGAGAGTTCTGGGAAGTGGTACGAGTACCACTCTCTGAAAACATTTGTAAGTCAGTTAACTAAAAGCTGAAATGAAGTGATATAAATGTTTCTCTAATCGAAGGGAACAGTTTTGCAATGTGTTTTTCTATTTGAGAATAACAAATTATTTGATTCTGAATTAAGAAAAACGAGAAAGTTTTACAGTCATAAGCAAGCATACAGATAATAATAGTACGAATCTTATGGGCGATGTTGAACAGTTGAAAATTTATTCTCAAATGAAGCAACATAAATATTTCAATTTTTCTCATGAACATTTCCATGATTATTTAGCTTTACGTAAGTAGTTAAAATTAAACTGATTTGATATCAACATCCCAATGGATAAACATAATCTGGTGGAAAGAAGTCACCTCATGCGCATGGCGAACGTGTTGATATCCTTGTCCATTTGGTCGTTGATGGCGATGCTCTGGATGATCATGTTGTCAACTCTGTTCACGTTGAACTTCACTTTAGAGCGCGAGTACGCATGGCCCAAACCCAACTCAGCTTGCTTCATTGCACATAACGTAAGTCCGGTTATGTACCGGGGCAAAAACAGCCTGATCCCGCATATTATCTGGAACAGGCACAATAATAATTGCGATAGTCCAAGAGTTTCTCCTGACTGTTGAGTGCCATGCAACACAATTAAGCATTTTAGGGAACAGCCGGATAACTTTGATAAATGCTAAATTAATAATCTATGAAATTTGAGTCATAATACCAAATCCTGTCATCCCAAATATGTTAAATAATTTAAAAACTAATGAATGCTAATTCAGGAAAGGCCAGTTCCAACACATGTTCAGCATGAAACTTTCATCTAAATCTAGTAAAATTGAAACATGTCCAGTATTTCAGCATCAAATTAATTAGCACACAACAATTCCAGTAATATCTTAAAACAACAGGTATTGTTAATAACGTTTTTCTACTGGGAGCCTTTTTTTCTAGCAACCAATGCAACCAAATCTCAATATGTGCAGGAATAGCTAGTAAAAATTAACATGGCACAATGCAAACAAAGTGGAAAAAATGAATAAACGTCATCAAATAGTTAATACTATATAGCAAGTCGCTAAAATAGTACCATAGTTGTAGCAATAATACCCTGAATTTATTTTTTGTGTAATTTCAAAATTTTCTTATCCAAAATAAATCCCATTATTGTAAAAAATTGATGTACCTATGCTAGTTAAAGAAAGACCTGTTAAAACTATACTCTAAATAGAACAAGGAACTTTTTCATTTTCAATCAAACAATTAAAGAAACCATTATGTGTTTTAAAATTATATTTATACTTGCCTTTTTAAAATTCATTATATATAAAAATTTAAAAATCAAATTTCAACTACCGGTATAAGTCCAAACCATTCCTCCCCGTTTTGCAATGCTAGAACTATTCTTTCATTGAGAATAAATTTCCAGCTCCTAGAAATTTCATGTCACTGCCGTATAAATAATTACTGAGGAGTTGCAATCAAACAGTCCTTATGTATTTCCGGCGCTGTGCTTATAACACACAACACACACATACTCAGACAAATATAAGATTAAATGCTACCAAGAGCAAGTGTTGACAACAAGAGTAAACAAAAAAAAGCATAATGCATGTTTAATCAAAATTTCAAACAGGTCTGGAAATAACCTTGCAAAATATGAAAAATTTAGATCAAAACGAAAAAAAATATAACTCTGTACTCACTGCAGTGAGTGACAGAGAGCGCATTTTCTCATCAACAAAAACATGAGGTCACGCTCGGACGGACGGACAGACAGACGGACATGGCAAGTACAATAGTGCATTTTATCCATAAATGAGAAAATGAGCTAAAAAGATCCCAGGTTCTCACCTCGGGCACTATGCCGGTGTGTAGCACATTACAGCTGAAGACATCTTTGACGTTTTGACCAAGGGTCGGGTCTGCCACACCAAGTGTGTCAAATTTGTTACTAGCCAGGAATGCTTCCAACACGTCTGACATTTTACCTGAAATATCAGTAATAAGTTTAATATTGAGTTAGTTATGAGTGAATGCCATTTGTGAATCCCAAGGTAATCCTTACTTTCATCCGGGGCTGATGAATGAATAAAATGTTATTCTCATATGACAATTTAACTTTTAAGTAGAAAAATTCATAAAAAGCAGAAGTAGGTTTGAGATTAATTAGATTCCTGCAAGCAATGCATTTCAATTTGAAATGCTTGAATAATTTCTTTTCACTGACTACTTTGAACCTTATTTTGAGTTGCTGGATGCACTTGACAAGTGACATAGTTCAATAACTGTGTTAAAATAAACTACCTATATGCTGCACAAATAAAACCTAGAAATTTAGACTTATTTTTCTGGGAATTATTATGACTTCAACTGTTAATTAGCATAAAGTTATGAGCTCAAAAAGCAACATTAAACTTCAGAAAAAAATTTTTCAGCATGATTTGTATAAAAAAGAAAATCGAGCGTACAAACAATCTAGACCTTAAAAAGCAAAACACTTGCCTTCAGAAATTTTGTTGACATTTTCAAGCGATTCTGCTGCACTTTCAAAAGCTCTGAATGCTACAAGTTTGACTGCCTTCAGGAACTTGCCACAGTCTTTGACAGCCGCCTCCACCTGAGGCATCATCTGCCCGACATCCTCAAACTCAGTGACGTGGTACAGAGAGTAGCCCACCGCATGTTCAAATAGAACGTGCAGACCCTGCAACATGAAGATATTTTCATGGTTAAATGTATGAAAAACTTCAATAGATCTTTTCAATACAGGTATGAATTGGACTATAAACTCTAAAGCTAGTCTAATTTCTTTATATATATGATTTTTGCTAAATAACTTTCATCCATGGTAAGCATATCTATCAATAGCTGTAAAGAAATATAACCAATATATTTTACAACCCAAGAAAAAAGGAAATTTCTAACAAACCTTGGAGCTGAATAATATTTTTCCCAGTTTTCTGTTGCAACCAGGTTTGGCTGAACTTTTAATCTCCTAATATATGTATGTAGTCATAGGTATGGCTCTGCTATGGAACAATATGGTAGTCTCCTGCCTGAGGAACTCCCCTTTTATCATTTCTTAATAGCAACAGATAAGTAATGATTCATCAACAAGGTTTAATTTTGTTTGTAAATACTAGAGTGTTCTGCTCACAGTGAAATATCTCAAAATTTGGTTACCTTACTCTGAAGAAATGTAAATGATAGTTTGAGTTTTCTGCTCCTAAACAGTTCTCCTCATGCTAGTATTGCCATCATTATTGGCGCTATAATGTCTCATTTGGCTTAGTGAATTACTATGCACAAACATGGAAGTATAACTCCATGATAATGGTAGTATGTATTAACAATTACACATTGGTCAATACATCTGCTTCCTAGTGAAATTGATTTAGAAAATGTCAACATTTCTATTACAGAAATTATATGTGATAATAAAATCAATCATTGCTTCTTCAGTCAATGTTCTTTATTTCTTCCTTGCAAAAAAGAATTTAGATTGATATCATCTTTCCTGTCAATAACCGTCAATAACCTTTTGAATTGCAAAACCAATAAGATTATAAAATTAACTTTATAATTTAAATTTAATTTAAATTATATTTAAATTTAAATATTTAAAAGCTACATAATTGATGATACTCCCACAAACATTAAAAAAAATTATTACAGCTAATTCTACTACCAAAATTCGTTATTTAATTTATGATTATTTAAAATCATTAATTAAAACTTTGCTACAGATGAATATTTTCATATAATGCTGGGCCCAATAACAGGCGAATTAGAAGTAGTAGCTAATATTACCAACTGACAACAGGCAGGGAATGCTCACATATTTGTCTTGAATGTTATTATATTATTAATATTATATTATTATTAATGTCCTTATAATCTTAACAATTTTTTTGATGACTTGCCTTGTTTAGAATGGACTGCAGACATATAGGCAGTGCAGTCCATAGCTCTGCACTACAGTACTTATGCTGCAATGCATGGCAATCAGGGCACACTGCAGTGCTGTCACTTACTAATATTGTAATGAATTGCACTTCCACTGCTAGCGCTGTTGAGAATGAACGAGTGATGATAGTTTGGAATGAATGAGTGATAATAGTTTGGTATGAAATTGTACAAGTTGTAATGTGTAATCACATTTGTGAAAATTGCATTTGGGCATACTAGCAACAAACGTTTAGAATATTTGAATAGCTGGAATCAACAATAACACTATGGAGTTTCTTTTTCTATAACTCAATGTGGACAAAGGGTGGGATTCAATGTGGATTCAAACAACATATGTACACAAGACGGGCGCTCTTGTGTACATATTTACATATCTCTTGTCCAAAATATAGGAGATATTTTGGACAATTTGAATGCTGAAATTCTAAAGCTTTTAAATATTATTCACAATATGTTGATAGGACACTTTTAGAGCCAGGCAATCTTTATATCATGTTTTTTATTAAAGCCCTTTATTATCAAATGAGGAAACATCAATAGAGGCATTAACAATTAAAAAATCCAACCATCATTAAATATTTTTTGCATGCAATTCATTCTACCCATATCTTATGAACAAAACTATATTATAGTATATATTATAGGGCTTTCAGCCATTTTAGACCATTAGACCTGTTCCTAATTCTTAACAACAGAATATTTGCAGATTGTTATGGTTTCACACTAGACTCCTGCGTTTGGTATTTTTTTATCCGATATGCGACGAGACGAGACGAGACAACGGGCTCTGTCCCGGTTTGCAATAAAAACCTGGACAATTTTCAGCCCTCCGTAGGAATTCCGGGACAATACCAAGACAAGACATCCCGGTTAAAATAGGTACCTTAAAATTTCCCAGAATTTATAGCCATTTTAACAAGACATAACGAGAAGAATCATTAATTGATGTGGTGTTAACTTTGGCATACATTTATACTGAGCTGGGAAGCGCTACTTTGAAATGTAGCGGCCGCTACCGCTACATGCTCTAAATGTAGCAGGCGCTACCGCTACATGCTCTAAATGTAGTGGGCGCTACCGCTACAATTGCCTAAATGTAGCGTCGCTACCGCTACCAAAAATGTAGCGGCCGCTATACATGTATAGCGCGCTACTGCCCACCTCTGGTAACAACTAACATGTTGACACTAGTAACAGGCTGAGGTTAACAACATTAAACCGAAATCTTTCGTACAGTTTTATTCTGTAATTTATATTATGTGCTGGTTTAAATAATATTTAATACTATCAAGTAAAATCTAAAGGCTTTATCTATAACTGTATCGGTAGCGCTGTAGCGGCAAAATCTTGTATCACTACTTAAATATGTAGCGGTCGCTACCGCTACCACTACAATTGCTTAAATGTAGCGCCACTACCGCTACTGAGAATGTAGCTGCCGCTACATGTAGCACGCTACTGCCCACGTCTGCATTTATAACATAACTTGAGACGTATCCTTTTACTATTCTGATTGGAGCTCGGCAATTGAAATGATTTTTGCTACGAATACATGTTGTGGTTTAATATGGTACCTAATTTTGACATGCAAATAAAAATGGAAAAACATGTTTTTTCCAAAAATTGGGTTCTATGATGGTTTGGAGGAGGCCATACTAGCTGTAGCTGGTGACATCGGCTGACTGGACAGACTTTGATTTGACTCCAGCTCAATCACAGAATCAGATTCATCAATCTTGTCTTAATCAATCTCCTTTAACAAAAAGTTTGGAAAGAAATATCAACAAAATTTTAAAATACAACAAAATTTAAGATGGAAAAAATATAATAGTTTGATCTTCAAAAAAGAACTCGAAATATCCATGTGTATTCTTTCTAAATAACGTTAAACAAGCCCAAGTGTTTGATAACAATTCAGGAAACTGCGCAATTGTGAAGATTTCCTGGAGACGTAGCACAAAATTTTACTAAAGGCAGAGATAATCTAAAACTAGCTTTAGTATTATTAGGAATATCTTACCAGGACTCCACTCACTCCACTCCACTGTCTACTAATTGGCCTACTATTCTAGACACTGCGTCCCTACTCCCTATGCGCTCCACGGCGCCTGAACTCGTTCCGAACGCGTAATAAACTCGACGCATATTTGTACAGTTCCCATAAGTGCCATCAAAGCCTATAATTAGTTCCGACTTAGGAGTAACATTTTTGACTCAATACTCAGCCATGCATACATCGACAGGTTTGCGGTGTTTGTCGGACCACTAATTAACTGCCATGTCAGTTAGTCAGACAAATTTTGCTAAATCTGCAATTAACTCAATTTTACTGGTAACTGTGTATGGCCTTATTAGCAATAAAATGCTAACTTGTCATTCTTCAACCCATGTTTTCGAAATGATTCGTATCGTAATCAAAAAACTTGTTTTGTCCTAAATAATCAAGACAAATCTTGTCTCTTCTTGTTATGTCTCGTTTCAAATCTGTCTCGTCCCGGTTCATAATTTACCGGGACACAAGTTTTAAAAACCAGGACAGTAGTCTTGTCTCGGTTCATATGTTTATTCCGGGACAAATTTTACCCTCTCTCCCGGTATTTTTTTCCCGGAATTTTCTCGTCTCGTTTCGTCTGTCCCCGTTCATTCCGAGAATATTATTTCGAGACGCAGGAGTCTATTTCACACACGCAACTCGCAGCAGTATGCTCCAGTTTTGCTGAACTTAACCGTTTGGTCACCTCGCCAATTTGACGAGGCCTATAGCAGGTAACTAGGATCAAACCCACAACTCGCAGCTCCAATCCTGGTACACTGAACAGGTCCAGGTACAGTTCCACCCTGCCACTAGTTTGCCATTGTTTGCAGACACTAAAAAATTATTTTCAAATGTACACAAAATCAGTTGTAGACTTTTAGTGATACATATGCATAATTGGGCAGATGATAAAATGTTCATGCACATCAAACTTTGCACGTAAAAATTATTTCTCAGCAAACAGAAGCTTCAGGGATGGTAATTGGTAAGATCCAGTATGACAGCATTGTGTTTTCAACATAAGCAAATAACATTAACATTGTGATAATTTTTTCTCAATATTAATAAGTACCTAATCTTTATTTTTTCAAGCCATCATTGGTCACTCATGCTGTTTGATTTAGAGAATATTTAAATTTTTATTATCAATAAGCAGTTGGTTTAGAATTTTAATCCTTAATATTATATGGTTGAAGTTTTGAACTGTTTATATCTTTCCTTTAAAAATCATCATTAGTTCTTAAATCAGTTCTTGCTAAAAAGCATCACATAATCTTTGAAATTATTTCAAGAACAGTGGATTTGGGAGGAATACATGTATCTATATTCAACAACGGAATAGGGTAATTCTCTTTGTTAGGGGCCACATGCTGGTATATAAACTATTTAGTAATTATTATAAGTGTCTTGTATTAATCCTCTCTTTCTATTGTCCCAGTGTGTGATTACTTGAGCGACAGCCAGATAAATTCAGACTAGTGTAAAATCACATTCATTGACAGTCTGGCTAGTTGAGTGAAGCAGTGCAATACTGATCTGCTCCTATTTCGTGCTGATTAACCTGCTATAAACAAACCTGCTTCCTGGTCATTTACTGCCATGCTGACTCATCACTGACCTCAT